AAACAGGAAACAGTTGGGCGAGGGGTGAAGAGGGACGGAGGGTGGGGGGCGATTAGAAGGCAGTGCTTTTCCGGTTTGTTGATTCTTTTCTTCTTCTTATCACCTCGCCTGAAATGGTCTATTGAATCCAGTTTTGAATGGGTTACAAACAACTAGTTGCATTTTAGAAGCATTTGAATTGATTTGCTACACTCGAGGTAGTTTGGGCCGCTTTTTTACGGGGCACATTGTGCCAGTCTAACAGAGTCCGTTTGTTGTGACAAATTTTAGGTTAGGTTAGTTATTTGTGAACAAGACTCTTTTTCTATTTAGTTAGCCGAATTTTATTTGTAAAGAGCCCACTTTTGTGACGTACAAATATAAGAGTACAAAGTACCTACCTTATATCACTTATTTTGACAAATTAGACTTCCTTCATCACAGAGTATCACTTATCACATCATTAAGTGGCGTGGATAACGGTGCTGGGCATTTTTCCCAGCTTGGCCCAATGTGCCCCATAGGTCGGACCAATGGGCCCCGGGCCGGGGCACATTGGTCCACTTGCAGGCCTATTGGGTTTCCGGTTTTTCTCAGTCTGCATGGTCGGCAAAATGTTGCGGACGGTTTCCTTAGGTAAAGCAAGGTACAAACTAAGACTTGACACAAAAAAAAAATTGGGTCGTCATATGCGGCGTGGGGAGCTAAAAGAAAAAAAAAACGGACCAATGTGCCCCACTTTTCCCTACAGATACCACCTACCAGCAGAACATAAACATTGCATTATAGTTCTCGGGAATCCCTGATGCACGCCTAGCAGGGGCTGCGTTGCAGATATCTCGATCTACGCACTCTCTCCCGCGCACACCGCTGAGTAAAGTCGGCTAACGGTAAAAGCCGATTTGCCTCCAGCTCTTGTGAACTCTAGGTCTTGTGGATTCTAGCTCTTGCGTCGCCTAGCTCTTGTGAACTAGCTCTTGCGACGCGTAGATCCTGTGGATCCTAGCTGTTGTCGCTCTAGCTCTTGTGAATCCTAGCTCTTGTGAACCGCCCCGGCTTTGAGCAGCCCTGAAGATTCGATTCGCTTCGGGTGCGAATTTTAAACGATTCGATTCGGAGAAAATTTCATGGAATCCGATTCGATTTGAGCTGAAAAGCACGATTAGCATAGCCATGGTTAAAGCTGACTTTTTGATTTACACACTGATAAGCCAAGTGTGTAACTACAAGTTGAATACTTTGAAGTATTCGACTCTGTAGTTGTGCACTTGCAGGTGTTTAACATAGAATATTTAACCGTTAACTTATCGTGTGGAACATCTCTTTTCAGCATCTCTTGTTTTTCCTGAAGATGGGTCCCTATGTTATTAGGCTTCGCGTTGGCTAAAGCGCTAACGCGAAAGCCTATAGTATTTTAGAGATTACTATGCTTTATGTATAAATATTTTTATAAATAATTTTTCTTCTTTTAAATGTAGAATCTGTACTTTTGAACGGACTTGAGTGTAGACCTCCTTGTAGCTCTCGTCGTGATGTTTCCCGGCCAGATTTTCCCGTACCCCCTCGGGCTTAGTCATCAGCATCTACCCCACCGGCCAGGCGGGTGAGGCAGCGAGGCAGTGCATGGCTCGGCGCGGGACAGGATTAGGGGGGGGGGGGGGGCTTTTATGACTATTTGAGCGTTGTGCGGGTGTCGGGTTCCGCTTTTATCGCCATAAACTGACCCTTCCCTCTCACCCGAACGAGTAGCAAAGTTAATGTCGTATGGCGATAAATATGTAGCTCACTCGAGCTCACTACATACTCCCTGTTTTTCTAGGATGAACAAAACTTGAATGGAATTCGTAGGCCGAAGATGAGCTTGTGTCTCGTTGTTGGCCGCTGGGCTCTAGCTGGCGACCGAGGGGGGGAGGGGGGCGAAGCAGGATACTCCTTATTTTTCTAAGATCAAACAAATGTGAGTGAAAGTCGTGGGACAAATATTACCTTTGCCCACCGTTGCGCCCCCTAAAGGACAACGCGTATGCTCGCAGTTGTCGGCTGCAGAGTATAGCTGCATAATTTGAGCATCTAGATACGTCTATGTGTATCAGCGTTTGTCTATCCATAGCCCAACACCAAGCACGCGAAGCCCTTTTAAGCCACATTGAATAATGTGGACTTGACGGATTTTTTGCTGGGTGTCTTATTCTTTCCCATGGGTGTCTCCCCCGAAATGGATTTTAGGTAAAATACGCATATTTTCTCGTTTCCTGTATACAGCAGACGCTGCCGCATTCAAATTACGATTTTGTCTCATTATTGGGTCCATGTTTCATCGATTAGAAGCAGTAGGACCTTTTAAATGGCCAGAACAACAAATTCGTCTCTTAAACTGGAAAAAAGGAGCACCCATCAAAAAGTAAGAAATTAGTGCTTAAAGTAGGGCAAAATGCTAGGAAATCTTTGCAATAATTACTTTCGACATTTTGCTACATTCCCCTTCCCTGTATGTCTGCCCTTGTGCTAAGTAGCGTTCCCGCAAGAGCACAAAGGACCGAAAAATAAATCTTAGAAATATGTACACTGAGCATTGGAAGTCCACAATACCTGAGTTCACGTAACTAATTACTTTTTGCATGTCGACCTTTGTTGGCCGCTTCGTGACTTGTACTTACTTTTTGCTCCCTTTGTTTCGCAACTCAGTGGACCCACGTGAAAACTCTCCGAACCGTGACTGCAACTGGACCATCGGATCCACAGCCCGTCTTTATACTGCCCACTATCAGCGGATCCTCGTATTCCTAGTATCACTGGCGGCTACTGATATGGCGAGAATTTTGGTTGTTGCGTTATATCCACTTGTGATGCAATGCAACCGACAGGGTTTTCACCATCAAATAACTCATACCTACTACTTGGTATTGTACTGCACGTGGAGGGGATTACGCCGGCATTACACCGAGACAAATCGGTCATTTAATGGCAAATTTTATTTAGCTTCGGTGTATGTTCGTAATGTTGCAGCATACTAAGGTCACATGCATTACGCACGGTACTACGGAAATGAATAACAACACTTTTATAATTTTAAAACCATTGGGGGTAGACAACGTTAACGTTGAGGTAGGGCATTATATGGAAGAAAGAAGAAAGTTTCAGAAACTATATGAGATTCGACATCACATTTTGCATGCGGGGGAATCCTTAGCTTCTTTGTACCTATGACTTAAAACCAGAGGAGCAGATTCATATAGTTATCACTTGATTTTACACTTGTTGCTATTTTCGGAGAGGGAAGCTGGTTAAGAAGCCAAATGCAATAGAATATTGTTCAACTGTCATCTAATTCGCTTCAGCACACTGTAAAAAATGTTGGGTATTCTACCATACGCATGTACAGGAAATTTCCTATACATCGTACCGGATGTGAAAATTCCTATAAATGCAAAGGAAATTTGCCATTTGGGGAGATGTGTATGAGAAAAGTTCGGAGTGTATAGTGTATAGGAAAATCTCCATAAATGTATGGGAAAATTCCGATACGTGTCTGGTAGGCATATTTTCTGTAACTTACATAGGAAAATTTACTAGATGATGAAAATTTTCTTATACATGTTCGGAATTTTAATACCGGGTAAGGTTATGCACATTTTTCCACCTCACTGTTAAATTCCTACAAAGCATTCGCTTTGCAGAGCTGCGAAGTATTTTGCTCCTTTGTAACTACGAAGCATTTACTTTGCAATTACAAAGTGATGCTTTGCAATTGCAAAGCAATGAAAACGCTGCAAAGCATCGCTTTGCAATTGCAAAGTGTCACTTCG